TAATCAAAAGCATTTGAGAATAAAAAAAATTTTGAAAGTTATTTATTAAAAACTTTTATTATTCAAAAAAAACTTTCCGCTATTCTTTTCGCCAGGGATTGTACTTATTACTGTAAATTAAAGTCAACTAAATTTTTTATTTAAAAAAATAATTAATAATATAATAGATAATAAGTTATTTTTATTGATTAACAATATTTAATTATACTTATTATTATAATTTAAAGCAATTAAATCTTTTATTTAAAAAAAATTATTAATTATTAATTTAGATTGTAAGTTATTTTTATTGATTAATAGTATTTAATTATACTTATTACTATAATTTAAAATCAACTAAATTATTTATTTAAAAAATAATTAATAATATAATAGATAATAAGTTATTTTTATTATTAATAGTATTTAATTATACTTAGTATTGTAATTTAAGTTAACTAAATTTTTTTATTAAAAAAATAAAATTTTATTATTAGGAAGTAAGATATTTTTGTTATTAACAGTATTTAATTATACTGTTACTGTAATTTAAAGTTAATAAATTTTTTATTTAAAAAAAAATTAATAATAAATAATTTAGATTGTAAATTATTTTTTTATTGATTAATAGCATTTAATTATACTTATTACTATAATTTAAAGTTACTAAATTTTTTATTTAAAAAATAATAAATATTATAATAAATAGTAAATTGATTTATTATTAACAGTATTTAATTATACTTGTTATTGTAATTTAAAATTAACTAAATTTTTATTTAAAAAAATAAATTTTATTAGTTTGTAAGTTATTTTTATTAATTAACAGTATTTAATTATACTTGTTATTGTAATTTAAAATCGATTAAGTTTTTTATTAAAAAAATAAATTTTATTAGTTTGTAAATTATTTTAATTATTAACAGTATTTAATTATACTTATTACTATAATTTAAATCAACTAAATTTTTATTAGGGAGTAAGTTATTTTTATTGAATATTAATATTTAATTATACTTGTTACTGTAATTTAAAATCAACTAAATTTTTTATTAAAAAAATAATTAATAATATAATAGATAATAAGTTATTTTTATTGAATAATAATGTTAATTATACTTGTTATTGTAATTTAAAGTCAATTAAATTTTTTATTAAAAAAAATAAATTTTTATTAGAAAGTAAATTATTTTTATTTAATTATACTTGTTACTATAATTTAAAGTCAACTAAATATTTTATTTAAAAAAATTATTAATAATTAATAATATAATAGATAATAAGTTATTTTATTGATTAATGGTATTTAATATAATTTAAAATCAACTAAATTTTTATTTAAAAAAAATAAATTTTATTAGTTAGTAAATTATTTTTATTGATTAATAGTATTTAATTATACTTATTACTATAATTTAAAATTAGCTAAATTTTTTTATTTAAAAAAATAATTAATAATATTATAGATAGTAAGTTATTTTATTATTAATAATATTTAATTAAACTTACTACTGTAATTTAAAGTCATCTAAATTTTTATTTAAAAAAATAAATTTTATTAGTTGGTAAGTTATTTTTATTATTAAAAGTATTTAATATATTTGTTACTATATTTTAAATCAACTAAATTTTTATTTTAAAAAAAAATTTTATTAGTTTATTAGTTATTTTTATTGATAAATAGTATTTAATTATATTTATTACTATAATTTAAGTCATTTAAATTTTTCATTTAAAAAATAATTAATAATATAATAGATGGTAAGTTATTTTTATTAATTAAAGTATTTATTATACTTGTTATTATAATTTAAAGTCAACTAAAATTTTATTTAAAAATTATTAATAATATAATAAAAGGTAAGTTATTTTTATTATTAATACTATTTAATTATACTTATTACTGTAATTTAAAATCAACTAAAAATTTTTTATTATAAAAAAAATGAATTTATTAGAGAGTAAGTTATTTTTTATTTGATTATCGGTCATAATCTATACATATGCAATACATATTCCAGCAAATTTAATAAAGATACTTATAAATATTAAATAAAATATATATATTACTTCCAATTAAGGCCGGCCCCTGGCCGGCCATGATTAAAAATCTAGTTCTATAAAATATATCACTAAATATTAATGTAAGATCAGAATTGTACAAATGCAAGAATTGTGTTGAAAAATCATAGCTAAATTAGTCTTGAATAGGGAATGTTCCTGTATCTGCATCACTATTAATTTGAGTTAATTGAACAGCTTCACCAGCTAAGCAACCCTCACCAGTGCAACGAATAATGCCACTATCATTGAAAGTAACCAAAGATGGCGAAACACACGTATTGGCTCCCGTATTGTGTGAACAAACACTACCTATTGCAAATGCCCATTGTGCGCAACCTGGATCAGCCAAACATGATCTACAACAACCTTCCGGTGTTGTATCATTTGTAAGGACTGAATTACCACCAGGTCTAACCCGATTCTGGAATCCAGTACCACCACGTTCACAGCAGTCTGGGCAAACTGTAACGGTTGGTGTAATAGTTACAGTTTTCGTTGGTTTATGATGGTTACATTTGTGATTATGGTGATGATGGTGATGGTGATTATCGTGATGTTTGCGAGCGGGGGTGGGGGTGGGTGTGGGTGTTTGTGATTCACTGCATTGGGTAACGGTTGTGGTTTCAGAACTAGTTTCAGTAACAGTGCAACGATTTTTAATATAATGATGATGATGACGATGATGATGAGCATCGATAGTTTGCGCCAGAATACAAAAGAGCAGAATAATTGAGAACAATTTGCGATTCATGTTTGTATTTAAGGATTCGGTATAGAGGATGATAATAAGGTAAGTTTAGGGATATGGTAATTTAAAGAATGTATGTAGAGGATGTAGAGGATGTGGAGGATGTGGAGGATGTGGAAAATACACTGGATAAACCTTAATTTTATATAAAAAAAAAAAAAAAGGGGGGGTTGCCGGGATTAGTGTTATTTCTGGTTGGTCAAGTTTTCATTTGTTTTGTTCGAACCGCATGAATAATAAAATAACAACCTCTGCAATTCATTAATTTGGTCGAACATTCGAACTTAATTACAAAACTATAATTAGATTTCCTGGTACGGAAACCAGTGATGTAAGCCACTAAAATCTATTCTAATTTTACCGAATTTTCCGATTTTGAGAATTCAAAAAATTGTTGGCGGCTTTTCCGAGAACTGTCGAATTTCTTGTGCGACCAAATATAGACTAAATATAGTCGTTACCAATCAATTTCTTGTGCGTCCAAATATAGACTAGACCATTAATAACGCAAAAGTATGGTTCGGAGATTGGCTGTTTAAGATCTGTAGCAATATGATTAAATTTAGTGATACAATATATTAAATTTCTTGTTCGAGAGGATATTGTACGACCAGTCTTCTTGATAGAACTATATGGTCGTATCATATAAACATATACCCTATCAAGATATTTTTGCATTAATAACGATATTTTCAGACATACGAAACAAACAACGCCCCTTGGAATACTAGTTTCACCACGAGGAAGTTGTTTTCGTACCATCTAATAGAATTTTTTTAATTAAGTAAATACAAATAAAGAAAACTTAAAATTTTCTTACCTGCTGAACAAATTAAAACTACCTACTATGACGGTATATGATTCTTTTCAAGGTCATTTGGAAGAAAATGTAAAAGCTAAATTTAAACAACGTAATTTTCATCTAGCTGTCATTCCTGCAGGATTAACTTGTCAACCTCTTGATGTATTAGCAACTAAATATGACGTTTAATCACATTTGATTTTACAAATTAATTTTTCTTATCGTATATATCAGATTGCATGATTCTATCTTGCATAATCTTTTAAACTTTTATCTTTATTATTTGTAAGAATATTCTTACAATATGTAACCATTCAAAAATTGGTTCTGAAAATTTATACTTTATTAATAATATATATTTTATGTTAAATGAAAAATGCTTTAGAAGAATATCCCATTTATTTATCTGACAATGTTGACTCAGAAAAATCAGAGTTGGACAATGAGTTAGGATTCAACCCATGGTCTGATCATTACTCTCCTATTCAATCTGAAGAAGATACTGATGTTAATGAAGAATTAAATGAACAATCAAAAGACAACCCAGCTGCCTACCTTGCTAAAATATTGCTAAAACTGATCCAATTTACTTGGAGCAACTAGGACCTTTGAATTATCACCAATAGCAGGCTTTTATGACTCTTCTAGGAGAATATTATGATATTTGCACAAGAAGTCAAACAGAGATAGGACGAACAACAGAGATCAAGCATCGTATCTATACTGGAACAGCTATGCCAATTGCTCAAAACTATATTGAACAAACCCTAAAAATACCAGATTCTTGAATCAAGAGCTAAAGAAAATGGAAGATAATGGTATAATTCAACTCTCCTATAGTCCATGAGCCTCACCTGTCATAATTTTAGGAAAAAAAGAAGGTGAAAAAAGATTATGTATTGATTATCGAAAAGTTAATGCTATTACAAAAATTGATGCGTATCTATTATTAAGAATTGATGACTTATTGGATTCACTAGGTAGAGCAAATTAATTCACTACTCTCGACTTAGTTAGTGGTTATTGGCAAGTAGCAATGCATCCTGATGATATTAAGAAAACTGCTTTTATCATAGCAAATGGATTATACGAATTTTTAATCATGCCCTTTGGTTAAACAATACATCTAGAACATTTCAAAGGCTTATAAATTGGGTTCTTAAAGATTTTCTTGGATTATTTGTATCAGTCTATTTTAATGATATAATCATCTATACAAAAGGACCTTTTGAACTACATGTTGATCATGTTAAACAAGTATTTCAAGCTTTTAGGGACACTCACCTTGTGATAAAATTAAAGAAGTGTTACTTCTGTTAATCTTTCTTAACATTCTTAGAAAATATCATAGGACAAGAAGGAATTCAACCTGATCTAGAGAAAATTAAGAAGATTGAAGAATTTCCAGAACCAAAAAGCCTAACTTAACTACATACTGCATTGGGATTATTTGGTTATTACTGAAATTTATTAAAGATTTCATATGACATACCAAACCCTTGACCTTATTATTAAAGAAAGATCAGCCTTTTGAATGGAAAGAAAACAACAACATGCCTTCGACTAGCTAAAGGAAAGGCTTATTAAGGCACCAATCTTGCAGTACCCAGATTTTAAGATATCTTTTATCTTATATACTGATATTTCAAAGAAAGGATTGGGTGCTGTACTATTTCAAAAGAAGGATGAAAAGGAATATGTTATTGCATATGCTAGTAGATCAATCAACAAAACTGAGGAAAATTACCTATCACTGATTTAGAGTGTTTAGCAATCGTCTGATCAATTAAGCATTTTCATCATTATCTTAGTCGACCATACACTATTGTAACTGACCATGCTGCTTTAAAATGGCTTAAAATCTCAAATATACTAAAAGGAAGATATGCTAAATGGATCATGAAATGCAACAATATCATTTCACCATAAAACATAGAGCAAGAAAATATAATGCAAATGCTGATGCATTATTCTGAATGTATGATAAAGAAACTGCTGAATGTTTCATTATTGATCTTATCGAAACAGATCTGGCTGATGATGAGGAGAAAAATATTAGTGTAAAAGAAGATATAGGAATGATATATTTCTTCTTCTGAATCTGAAGAAAGTAACGAATGATTTGAAGAGGAATTGTCTTGATAATACTCTAATACTGTCTTAATTACTGCTATTGGATATAAATCTCCTAATGATAAATTAGAAGAAATCTACTACGAAAATATAAAGATTAAACAAGTAATCACTAGACAACCCATCACTAGAGGAGGATCACAATGCACTTTTTTATGTGAAACTAAAAACCATCATATTCACACATATTGTAAAGTATACAAGAAAAATTTATTATACAGAACTATCATATATGACTGTATCATTGGATATGGTTTAGGAAAAATCCAACCAGACATAAAACCAGAATATTTAACTAATGACCTCTGGTGGGAAGAACCTCTCTTATTACAATAGGAAAACCTTCGTACACAATTATATTTTCACCTTGATGATATTGATAATGCACCCTTTCCCCCTCTTATTAAACTAACAACTAATATAATACATAAAAAATTAAGTGAAAGCAAAAGTGTTTCAGTGTGATAAATAGCTTAAATTCTTAACCATAGAAGAACAACAATATAATCAACTATTTAATTATTTAACTAGCCAAACATATCTCATTACCTTTAATCAAACACAACAACACAAATTAACTGTACTATCAAAACATTATATTATCAAATATAATTTACTATACAAAATTAATAAAAATAACCCAAGTAGCCTAATTAGAATACTTAAAAAAATAGAACTAAAACCTGCCCTTTATATATTTCACAATGATCCAACTGCCGCTCATAGTTTAAAAGAAAAGATGATAGAGAATATTAAAGAATGTTTTTATTGGTCTCAAATGTTTGAAGATATTAAAAACTATGTACAATCATATGAATTTTGTCATAAGAGAGGAAGAGTTTCAAGAATAGAACCTCTACATCTTATACCTATTGGACAACCATTTCATTATATTAGAATAAATTACATTGAATCTTTACCAGTTTCAAGTAAAGGAAATAAATACATAATCGTTGCTATAGATTATCTAACCAAATAGCCAAAAGCTAAACCTGTAAGACAAAATGATGCTAAAACAACTGTACAATTTGTGTATGAAGATATAATTTGCAGACATGGATGACTTAGAGAAATACTTACTGATTATGGTACACATTTCAACAATTAACTGTTATATGAATTATTACAGAAATTTGAAATACCTTATAGAATGTTGATGCCATATCATTCACAGACCAATGGATTAGTTGAAAGGTTCAATAAAACTTTAATAGAAGCCCTTACACAAACTGCTACCAATCATCAAAGGAATTGGGATCATTTATTGCCTCTGCACTTTTTGCTTATCACACAAATGAACATTCTGTTACAAAAATATTACACTTTTTTCTTGTGTATAGATGAGAAGCTAAATTACCAATAGATAGTACAGAAATGGAGGAGGAATCCCTCTTGCTTAATCATGTAGAAAAACAATTAGATCAGCTGCTAATTATTCATAATACTGTTCAACAAAATTTATAAAAAGAACAACAAATACAGAAAGATTGACATGATGAAAAATTAAAGAAAATTGTGTCATACTAAATAGGCAATCAAGTTTTATATTATAAAGCAATGTTAAATAAATAGTGGTCAGAAAAACTAGATCCAAAGTGAAAAGAACCATATTATATACACGATATAATTAGAAATGAAGCTTACAAGATTAGGTAATTAAATGGAAAAGTCCTAAAAACCCCTGTGAATGGAAGTTTATTAAAAATCTATTTAAATAGAGTAGATATTAATTGAACTTCACCCTTTTTTTCCTCAAATTTAAAATGGAACTTTATAATCAAATTTTCGCAGACTTACAACAAACTGAATCACTATATTCAGATATTTTATCTCCTTTTTATCAGCACAATGATACTGCATTACAACAAGTAAAATCACTACTTCAAAAACTTAGAAGAGCAAAAAGTTTAAGAAATTAGATTGAAATATTAATAGTCCTTTAACATATAGAAAAAGCTATTGAAACTAAAATTGAATCACTAACTGAAAGAACTCAATATATAAATCTTCTCTTACCGTACTATCTAAAGGTAGTTTTATAAGTATATTACCTATATGAATTAATTAAAATAGTTTAAATTACTCGAACTAAGTATATAACTATAGAAATACTTTCTCGTATTAATTGTGAACAATACCAACAGCTTGTACAAGAAGCTAGTACTATCGCAGAAGTTCGAATGTTAGAGGAGGAAGTTATTAATGATAATCCGTTTGCATCACTAGATGACTATGCCAACTAATATCACCAATGATCATCAGAAAAATCGTAATCATCATTTTCACTAATTTCACTACTATCACGGTTATCATTGTGATAATTATTTTCTTTATTATTACATTTATCATTATTTTATTTATTATATTTATTTTCATAGTTATATTTATTTTCATTATTATATTTATTATCTCTATCTTATAATTGTATTTTATATAAATATCCTGTATTATCCCCTTAACAAACTAACAAGTTTCTATCATATAATAAATAAAGTATAATCTTAACAATATAAAAATTATATCTTTACCAATATCTATTTCCTTAAAATATAAATCATCAATAAAAACAACCTGATCCTTCAACATAAATGAATTCATATTTATTTCTTTCATAGTTTACAACTTAAACTTCCTGTTAGCAAATAAGCTTTGTTATTCTAACAACATAATGTTTAGGCTTAATAACAATATCTAAAGTGATCTTTAAATAACTCACCATTAATATAAAATGTTTTGGATTCTAATTGTCTAAAGGAAGCAAAAAGGTAATACACATGATATAAACTATATTCTTGCTTAGAAAGTAGTAGTTCTTGCAAAGGATCTT